TAAATCCAAAAGTAAACCATGAGCGTGATTTCTGGGACTGTTATTAAAACTGATGGGGAAGAAATAATTAAGGAAATCTTTGGGAGTCAGCTGCTTCTGGAAAGTCCTCGTCTGCTGCTGCTAACACTGTGAATTTTCCCATCGTGGGACAAATAAATAAGGGACTTCTCTCCCCCCCCGCCCTCCCCGTCCTCCCCCGTTCAGACATGTTTGAACTGGCCCTGAGGATCTTCCAGTTCACTCATTTCCATATCCAGCTCGGTGAATATGGGAGGTGGAAACTTTTCAGCAGCACTTTGTAGCAATAAAGATTGGAACGTTCTGTTCTGGGGGGGTCTGTTTACATTGGAGGTCAGTGGGGAAGGGGGGGGGGGTTAAAGCCATTATAGACCCCAACGTTCACTGCATAGAAATGAACACAAAGCCGAGGCAGCCGTACTGTCAGTAAACACACCGTGTGACATTAAGACACAAAAGATGCCCCCCCCCCTGCCCCCCACCTCCACACTCACACACACACACACACACACACACACACACTCACCTTGCCGCTGCCTAACGTCGGTGAGAGAGGGAAGGGACTGCCTTTCATTGTCTGACAACAGAAAACATGTGAAAATGAGATGAGATTTAAAACAACCTTTTAATGTAAATTTAAATCAAGAGTTTAGTTGAAATAAATCCTCTCAGATGATCAGAACTGAACTGGTGCAGTTTTCTCTCACTGATGATTTGATAAAATCACTGTCACCGTAGGATGAGATCATTTTACTGAACACACAGGAACAACAACAATAAAACATACATATATATTTCTGATCTTTATCAGTTCATCTTCTTATGTGTTTCATTTCAACAGAGTTCATTTGACTTCCTTTTCTCTTAATGAATTATTACAAATATCTGTATGAAAATAGTAAAATGTATATTTGAGACAAAAGAGAGCAGAACAATCTACTGTGTTGGATTTTTCCTGTGAAAAATATATTAACAAATATATTTTTCTATTTAATAAGCAGTGGTTATCTATACATATGTACATATATATATAAGCAGCAGTTCATCCTTGACTGACTGAATGCTGACTGCAGTCTGTCAGGTTCAACCAGTAGGTGGTGCTGTAGGTGTGTGTAGTGTACCTGGTGATTTGATTCCGGTCCATTCCGCTCACAGTCTGTGTGGGAGACAGAGAGGAAAAAGTGAACGATGATCACGTGTCAGCGCCGGAATCACAAACAACAGAGTCAGAGTACTAGTACTGTCAGAGTACTAGTACTGTCAGAGTACTAGTA